TATTTTTATTTTTTCTGTTGTTATCTCAAATTCAGAACTGCTTGTGTAAGAAAGTATTCCAGGACATACAGCTTTTTTGGGGAGCACATTGCAGCACTTCTGCAAAAGGCATTTCTTTCCTCTGTTTATCTTATTTCTGCTTTTATTTGTTGCTGTGAAAGCACTAGGGCATGGAAGCTCAGGGGTGGTAAATTCTTATTTAGCTGCAGATGTTCTGTAGATGGCAACTGTTCTTAAAAGTATAAAGACTGTGTATCCCAGTCAGGGAAAAAAGTATCATCTGTCCCTAGCTCAAAATACCATTTGTGTTGGCAGAAGTGAGATTTCTGATTTTCAGTATTTTTAATACATCTCATGTAATTTCTGATCACAATAGAATACTGAAGTGATCGTACAAGATGAGGTAATGTGTTTTGTCTTCTGCCTATCTATGACAGCAACATGCATAAGGTCCTGTTAAAGTCAGTTGATCTTATATTCTCTTGGTTTCCAAGGACATATTTAAATTGCTCATTTAAATACACTTATTTTGTACTGCTTAGAAATTCATATCCATAAAATATTTAAATGGGATTTTTATTAAAATACTAGAATCATAGAGTCATAGAATATCTTGATTTGGAAGAGACCCATAGGGGTCATCAAGTCTAACTACTTTTATAAGTAATCATTCTGGTGGATAGTGCTTTTCTGCATAACGTGCAGTGCCACTCCCTAATTTTGTGCAAGTTACTTCTGTGATGCCAAAGAGATGGTAAACAATAGAGTTTAGTAAATGATCCTTTGAGGAAATGACACATCAGTTGTGGTAATGTTTATGATTAGAATTCCTAGAAGATATTTATCCCAGATTTGTGCCTTGGCTGATAATGCCAGCACAGCCTGCATATCCAAAACTAGTCAGAAAACCTTTCAATAAGCCTTTTTTTTTTTTTTTTTTTTTTTTAATTTAAAATAACAATAACTTCATAAGCAGGCTTCTGGTGTGTTGACCTGGAAGATGTCATCTCAGTTGGCAATACGTACCAAGCTCTCACCTGGTAGCTTTTGGTACCATCTGTGGAATTCCAGCTCTTCACGTTGTGGGTTTACAGCAGGGTGATAAACATGAAACTGTGTAGGAAAAGAGTTGAGTTATATTAACTTGCATCCAGCACGCGCATTGTGATTGCATTCTCCTATGTGAGTACCTGCTGTTCAGAAGGTTTAGTTCCAAAAGAAGCCCTTTTCCTGAGAAGTTTTGCCACTCTTGTCTGCAAAATGCATCTGAATTGCTGTCGCAGTATTTGGATTGTGTTTTATTCCTCTAAGCTGATGTGCTGAATCAGTTTCATGTATTGGTTGGAGTAAACATGTGAATAAAAGCATGTAGCGGCTCTTAAGGCAATGTCATTTTACAGCAGAAGAAATTATGGCCCTCGAAAGCAAATATCTGTGGTGTTTGTGAACGCTACAAAACCTGTTAGGTGCTGCTAGAGCTCCGATTCCAAAGGGTTAAGTCTGTAGTAAAACCCAAGAAGAATGCAAAATGATCAAGAAATGACATGCTGCCTATTGTTTGTAGCTATAGGATCAAAATAACAATTATACATGCCAAATAAATTCTAAACCTGTAAAGGAGAAAAAGAGGGGGTGGCTGTAAGTACAGGTGCCAGAAGCATTAAATAACCCTCTCAGACAAGGTGCACCACTGTTGTCTTGAATGCTGCTAGGTCCCCCAGTCTGGCATTTTTCCCCTGCACCAGACAATGTGCATTCACTGCAGGAGACTCGGGTAAGCCTGCGTCTCCCAGACCTGCCGGCTCCTTGTGCCCAGCCCGACACAGAGGTGCCTTTGTCAGTATAATTACCCTCCCCTTGTAGTAGAAATAGTTTGTTTAGAGCCTTATTTGCAGGTAGAGCTGGTATAAGCAGGAATTAGCATGCTAAAGAACCTGCCCCGGCACTGACTTGGGCTTATTTATCAGAATCTTTGACAATCAGAGCTTGGTTTTGTGTGGTTTTTTGTTGTTGTTGTTGTTTGGTTTTTGTTTGTTTGTTTGTTTTGTTTTGTTTTGTTTTTAACCTCCATAGGTTTATTCAGTAAGATAGCATCCAAGATTAAGAGCTTTTAGGTAATTAAGGAGCTCGAAGATGGGAGCCAAGCCGCTGTTGCATTGGTGAGGCACATGTTATGGTGTGTAAGATCTCCCAACAATTTCATGCCTGGCAGCTCTGCACCTTGGCTGCCAGAATAAACGCGAGCGGATGATCCTTACAGCTTTCTGGGGACTGATTAAAACCCCTTTTGGCTTTCAGCACGTTGTCCACATCAAATAGGTGCGAGAAGTAAAATAAATGTTGCTTTTGCTTTTCAAGATACTGCAGCCAATCTCCCTAAGCCTTCCTAATTGGCCTAGGCTGGTTGCGGATGATTAACTTGAAGTTAAATGAGGCCTGCTTTTAAACATGCTTTCCCAGACTTTAAACAGAACGGTGGGGGGAAACTTTAGACTGTTGTGATATTGGAAGAGGGCCAAATCGGGTTATTATTAAAGTGGATCCAAGTTTTGATCCAGGGTTTGTTTACACTCAGCCAACTAAGTTGATGGACATCCTCTCTCTGCGTACCTGAGTGTGCGTTACTAGTGATATTAGCAATATACCATTTCTGTCCTGTGAAAAAGGGCCTTTTAATGAAGGGGGAAGAATATTAGCAGCTCAGATTCCGCTGAGAGTTGCTTGCAGTTGGAGTTTGTGGATTTCCATACGTTATTTCAACTATGTAGAGATATTTCAGAGTATGAAAAAAATGTGGAGGAAAATGCGCACAGTGTTTAATGGCAGCATTGCAAGGAAAATAGAAGTAATGTGCCCTGAGGGTAAAGGCAGCGAGGAGATTTGCTCTGAGGAGAAGTATGCTCTAAAAATAAATCCTTGAAGAAACCGTCTTGGTCTGAGAATGTTTCATTAGTGAATTTCGTAATTTTTCTGTGAGATGAATATAGTGCAGACATTTGATCATTAAAAAGTTGTTTTCTTGTGCAGAGCTGGGTAAAACCCTAGTCTTTTTTTTTTTTTTTAAATGTAAGGCTTAAAGGTAAACTGTAAAGCAGGCTTCTGTTGGAGCACAAGGCCAGAACTCCTGTGGAATGTGAACTGCAAAAGATCCACCTTCTTACCCTGTTGGTGAGGTGTACAGGCTAGATGGGTAATTCTGAGAGCCCAGCCCAGCACTGACTTTGTTTTGTGCCTGGTAACTCGGTTCAGCCTGTGCCTGTGCAATGGCAGTGCTCTGAGGACCTATGTGGCATTTTCTTTAAGTCTTATTCAGTGTACCTGAGGAAGGCCTAACAAGAACCAGTGACTGCGAGCATAAATCAGACCTATCCAATTACGAAACAAGGCGAAACTTCTTAGAAGCAAGAGTAATTAACCTTAGAGTGGACTGTCAGGTAAAATGGTCAGTTCTTGGTTTGAGAATGTCAGGAAATAAGCTGAGAGAGGATCAGGGACAGAAAGGGGCTCCAACAGTTTGTTTTGCTCGCTGCACTTGGCAGCTACGCCCGTGCCATGCAGAGCATCTGACGAGTGGATCTAAAGGCTGGCTTTAGATAAAATCTTTATTTTCTCAGAGGTCAAACTTTGCTTCTTAGCATCTCTTGTGAACGGGCTGACAGGATGTTTTTACCGTATTTCCTTCTGCCTCACCTTGCCAGAGGGCATCTTTTCAGCCTTTCTGACACCTTGCAACTCTTGCGTGTTTGCTGGGTAACCAGCATCCAGCTTACTTCAGCACTCTATTTTCACTGCTATTACCATACGAGCTAAACTTACGGATATATCCAGGCATATAATTATATTTAATTAAATTCTGTGCATATTAGCATGTCACCTGTGAAATGCTTGGTGCCAAGCCATGCTCCGGTAGGGCTGTACACCAGAAAGCTGTAGTAACCAGGGCACCTCAGGAGGGCTTACTGAGGAACCTCAAGGAGTTTCACTGTGCCTCTGCCCTAGTTTCAAAGCAAGCAGGCTTAGCCTCATCCATGAAGCAGTTCTTTCTGAAGCTTGAAAGACTTCACCAGTTTTCCAAAGGCACCTCCTGTTTGTGTCTGCCTGCCACACTCAGTCCTCATGTGTTCATACTCTGGTGTCCTGGATCCTCAGGTTGAGGAAAGGCAGACTGCAGGTCCCTTTGCTATCAGAGCATGGATGATATTTGGTATTTCATTTTCTTTGACCTACTGTAGTAGCTTTTTGCATTTCCTCTTGCTAGAAAAAATTTTTTCTTGCCTTTCTTGCCCCCCAGTTTTTATTGCCTTTTTACCATCCTCCTAAGTTTGAAGCCATTGTACTGGTAACTGCATTGGTTGTTTGTACCACTGAAGCAAATTGGTAGCAAGAGCTGAAACTGACCTGAAAACAAACTGTGTCCCAAATCATGTGTACCTCAAAAATCACAAATAAGTCTCTCTGTTACTGCTCTGTGAAAGGGTTGGTGTTACAGCCCTACTTTTCCCTGATACATGTTGCATTATCAATTGCAATGTCTGCATGGATGTATGGAGGAAGCACTATTTTCTTTGAAGTATTTATTTTAAGTGGGAATGAGAAGGAACAGACTTGTCCTGTGACTCTTCTTCAAACGTACCCTGAACTTCCTCTACAGGTGTATGGCTCAACTGTCGACTACTTGCTATTCTGCAAAGGTGTTACCAGAGCTTATGCCAACACACAATATTTTCTCTATTACCAATAAATGTCTACACTATTAAGGAGTGAGGGAGAACAAGGAGACAAGATAAATATAATGATAGAAATTACTGAACCAAAAAGCAATACACACATGCTACTCAGCAGAGTGAAATACATCTATCTTATTTTCAGAGGAGAAACTGCTTTTTCTATAAGCCCTTAGTGACAAAACAAAAATTATGATGTTGCTCTGTTCTCCAGTGTCCGTTGTTCATCGTGTTAAATTTGCTCATTCTCAAAATATGTTCTCTTTTTCAACACAGGGCGCTAAGGCGTGTTTTTTGCGTGACATCCCCTTCTCTGCTATTTACTTCCCCTGTTATGCTCATTTGAAAGCTTCATTTGCCAATGAAGATGGAAGAGTCAGCCCTGGAAATCTGCTCTTGGCTGGGTCAATAGCTGGTAAGTGCCCAAACTGCTTTCTATGTGCATTTGTGTTACACCAGCAGTGCAGTAGTTAGAGCACATTTTGCAGCATTGTGCCCAAATAACATAAAGCTGCTATGCTAGAGAAATGATCTGAGGTTAAAAATAAAGATCCTGCAAGTTTGGGGTATATTCATAATGTTTAGGGGGAGAAAAGAAATGAAAGATTGAAGTTCTGATGTTTTGTCATCACGTATCATCTTTACTTGTGACGTTACTGTGCTTTTGGCTTTGGCTGGCTGAATGACTGGTAAAGGGTTTTGTTGAAATGGTTTATAAATGAAATCGCTGAAAATAAAATCATGGCATTTATGAAATTTTGTGATCAAAGGAATCTTGAATATTGGTGTGTGGAATCGAATAACCATGCTTGCAGAACATGCTGGCAAAACATGTGACAAAATGATGAAAATTACTTGCTACCCACAGTCTCCTGTGCAGTTACATGGCTTTGTGAGGACTTCACCCTTATCAGAACAGTTTCTGAACTAGGCTGTATTCCACTGTCTTGCCTGTTGCAACAGGCACTTGTGTGGAAGAAAGCATAAGGAGTTGCTTGTTGTCTTGTGTGCCGTAAGTTGCTGATTCCTGACTACCCAGATACCAGAGAGGTGCTGAGTGTCATCTTGAGCACTTGCTTGTTCTGCTGCGTACTATATAGGATAGCCAAGCAGTTTCCACAGATGTATTCAGTTTGAGTGTGCCAGAGCCTAGGGGAAGACAGAGACACTTTGCAGGCTCAATTTACCTTTGTCTCAGCTGCTCCCTGACATGGTGCACAGCTCCTACACTGTCATGCAGCCTGGGAGCCTATTCCTGCCCCATCCATTCCTTAGAAGTTCTGTTCAGGAAACAAGTGGGCTCAAAAGCTTGTGCAACATGGCCATAGGGGAATGGGTAATAAGCAGGATGTTCCCATCAGCACTCACAAAGCAGATGTTTTCATCATGTTAATCATGGGCTGCTTGGCTTCTCAAAGCTGCACCCAAGTTCTGGCCAGCTGGCAGGCTGTGCAGCCTGGCAGGCTAGCAAAATGATGGAGACACATGAGTCCAGCACAGATAAGTAGTTCATCTTTTTTATTGTTTGATTTTTAAGGTTTCTTCTTTCTGGGGGAGTTATTTTCAGTCAGGATTATAAGTGGGGCTGTGTTTCTTAAAGAGTAAGGACCTTTTAAAGCCAGTAACTGGTTGCTGGATGTGGCCAAGGCCAGTGCAGCTCAATCGGCCTGCCTTGCTGAAAGCATATGGCTTCAACTCCTTTGTGTTGGCATTCAGTCATCTGTAGTGCATAGGAATCAACCTGGGACCAAGAAAACCAGCTGTGTTATAACGACTGGTGCTTACAAACTGTCCTCTCCCATCCCCATACCCCAGAACAATCAACCTCCAAACCTTTCAACAGGAGCTTACATCCAGCTTACTTCTCACCCAATTTAGTGGAACAAAACCATTTTTGAACTTCAGTTCTTATTTACAATTTACTTCAAACATAAGTTGGCATTTTAAAGCCAAGTCATTTATTGGATTTTCCTATTTTTCTCTTCCTAGCCATTGTCAGTTGATTGCAGACTGAGATAGCTGTCCTTTGAAGCCCAGGCACAGAAGCAGTCTTTATTGTTGCTGATACAGCTTACCAAAATAGCTGTGTTGTGACTTTTATCCAGGATTTCCTGTGAATCCCACTCAAAGTTAACTCTCATGAGCAAATTACAGTATTAAAGATCCACCATTCATTATACAGCTTACAAAACCAAGAAATTTCTCTATTGGGTACAGATAAAGTATGGTGGTACATGCATGTCAGCCCTGCTTTGCCACAAGAAGGCTGAGGGGAGGCCACACCTCCAGCACTGGCTCCAACTCTACATGTGCAGGGCCCTCTGGTTCAAGCTGGCCTTCTTGGATGCACACCCGCACCCTTTGCCAATGGGTGTTGTGTCTGCTGTCTGTGTTTTCTTCCTTTTTGTTGTCATTAGGGACACATACAACACAACACGCACATCATCTGGTTGGATCTGCTGCTGTTTTCACTGTTCACCAGATCAACCTGTTGTGCCGTGGCATTTTCTGAGATGATGCCAGTATCAACAACAGGATAGCTCCTTAATTTGCTCCATCTGCTTACTGCTCCTATGAACTTCCTTCTCCTTCCGAGTGCCTCTTTTTTACTGTCATCTCCTGCAGTGTCATTTGTCTCATTCTGATTGTATGCTCCTCAGGGCAGCGACCTGTCAATTTTTATTTGTCTGTGAAGTCTTTTGCGCTTTATACATAGCTCTAAAAACAGGATTAAAACAAAAACAAAAAAAACAATAAAACTTGTTTTATACAAAATAGCAATAAGGAGTGAGGAATAAGGAGATGGCAGTCAATGTGTAGTAAGCAGAATTGCTTCTAAGTATGTTCTTTGATTTTCCTTGAAAACACTGGTTGGCTTTTGAAGAACAAAAGTCCAGCTTTAAATTGAAGACAAACCAATATCCTGGTGTGGGTAAGGGTAAGCAAAGAGGAATTTCACCCTCTCCAAAATTCAGAAACCTTTACTGACTTGTTGCATTTGCCTGCCCGACTGACCACTCTGCAAGCTCAGTGTGTGTGTTATTTTGGGGGGTCCAGGAGCGGAGGAGGCATTCTTTTGGTGATATGTACCAGCTTCCATCTCTCCGAAGCAGCGTGCAGAAAGATGCTGTGGTGCCTGAAGCCAGACCATGCTGGTTTGGACAAAAATTGTTACAGAATTATTAAGCCTAAAAAAAAACCAAAGCGAAGGAGATTTATGCATCTACATCTGACCAAGTTGGTTTGGAACAGATGCAGAATGGAAAAGTAATAAAACCATAAGAGACACTGTCTTCTGGGTTCAGTCTCGATCCCTATTTTTTACTTTCTTTTTTTTCTTAATTCTAAACATGGGCAGTCTCTGTTTGGGCAGGAATGATTTCAGAGATATTGCCTTTTGGTAATTTGGTGTTTTTTACTTGCAGTTGATTATCTGCCAGGGTAAATTAAATCTTCCTCCAAGTGGTGGGGATGTCAGCTGTGACTGAGCAATGTGCCACTCCTAATGAGAAAAACGAACCTTTTTTTAAACTTAGCTCTTGTGCCTTGCTGAGCGTGCATGGCATTATCAGTTCTTGGTGATGTTGTTGTGTGGGATAAGGCAGTGTGTGTGTACAGGCTCTTCTAGCACAGCGTGCAGCCAGAGTGCCAGGAACCACAGCGAGGCGTGAAAAGGAAAGGGAAAGATCGACCTCACCTCCAAAAACATTGTGCTTATTGACTATGCAAGTTTCTGGTTAGCACTGAAAAATCCAGGCTATGCCTCCCAGCTTGACAGGAAGCCTGTGATACGTTTTTTCCTCTAGGAGAAGCTTTCTCTGGGTGAAGCCACGTCCACAATGGCTGCCTCCTGTCGCTTGTTTTCCTTCCCAACTTCTGCTCAAACCTTATGGTTTCTGCTAATGTAAGGATGAAGGGCATGGTTACCCCTGGGGAACTGTGGTTTGTAGCATATGTAATAAGTCAGCAATACCAACCCAAAGGTTTTTCTGTCCCTAGGTATGCCTGCGGCCTCTCTGGTGACTCCTGCAGATGTCATCAAAACAAGGCTACAGGTAGCAGCGCGGGCAGGACAGACCACTTACAGCGGTGTTGTAGATTGCTTTGTGAAGATCCTTCGAGAGGAAGGTCCAAAGGCTCTTTGGAAAGGAGCAGGAGGTGTGGAAAACAGCTTTGATAACTAATTTTCTTTCTTTTTTTTTTTTTTCTTTGGTTTTTTGTCATTTAAGGACTGTTTTGTTTTCTTTCAAGCTCGTGTGTTTCGATCATCTCCTCAGTTTGGTGTAACTCTTGTGACTTATGAACTACTGCAGAGATGGTTTTACGTGGACTTCGGAGGAGTGTAAGTATGTGGTGTGTGAATGTGCCTGGGAACCCACAGCTGCACTGAGATCTCCTTGTGTCTTTGGGCAGAAAAGGGGTCTTAGTATTATGTAGAAGATATTGCAAAGGTTTTGTCAGTGTTATTTAAGCCACGTTTATGTCTGGTGGAGGAGAGGATGATGTTCCACCACCTGTATCACAGCAAGACATTACCACATTTTATGTCACCATTTTGATCTGGGGACATGTATTAGTAAAAATGGAGACAGCGAAAGGCTGAATAACAGGGTGGGAGTAGAACTGCAGGGGATGTGTAATGCTTACTCAGTCAGGATGCACTCTGCATTAGTCCTCATAAGTGTGGTGAAGGAGCTGCATCCCTTGTTGAGGAGGGATTTGACATACAGAAGGGTCTACAGGTATCACTAAGTCCAAATACTGTTTGTTGGAGCCTCAGCTCAGGGATGTGCTGTTTTAACATGATTACCAGATACAGCTGCAGATGCTTATGAAGCTTTGGGGGCAATAGAATGCTACCAAAGAAGTTATTTAAATTCTGCTGAGTTACTGGATTGGTTGTACGCTGTAGGAGAGAGTTCTGGACTTCACAGTGCAGTTTTAATCAGTGCACTGAAAGATTTGACCATCCTCCATCTCAGTGAATGCAAAGACCCTTGGCTGTTCTGGAAGGTTGTGGCATTTAATTTAGTTACTTAGTAGGAAGTGCTCTCAGGTTCCTCACTCAGCTGGCTTTACAGAGTAGTTTTGTGAATATTGCTTTCATGCTATGGAAATTATTATTTTTTTATTATTATTGTTTTGCAGAAAACCAGTTGGATCGGAGCCAGTTCCTAAATCCAGGATCACGCTCCCTGCTCCTAACCCTGACCATGTTGGTGGTTACAAATTGGCAGTTGCCACTTTTGCAGGGATTGAAAACAAGTTTGGACTTTACCTACCTCGGTTTAAGCCATCACCACCTACCTCAAAGGCTGCTGCAGCAGTAGGACCCTAAGCATATTGCTGTAGGCTTTTTGTTATTAGTTGGGAAAGAGCCACTTTTCTAATTGGTTAATACTTTTGTTCCTTTAGCTTCACATCGTATAACAGTTTGGCTTCATTTGAGTTTTAAGGCAGTTCTCATCTTAAACGTAATCATTTGTCTTTGTGCTTCCTTAACCAGATCACTGTGAAATTCTTACCAGTCGTTTTAAGTTTGGGACCATGAATGTATCTGTCCGCATCTGACATGAGCTTGTGTTGGGAAGACACTAATTTTAGGTTCCATTTATTGGGGAGGGTTGGGTGAGAGCTGTGAACCAGATCATCTTACAGACAGTGCTCAGTTGCAGATTCCCAGGGTGGGTGTCACACACTGTCACTCAAATGGCAAAAAAACTCAGTGGATATCACGGTGCTCAAAGCAGAATGATTTTGAGTGTACATGTAAGTTGGTTATCAACTTAGTGCGTGTCTGTAGAGGTCAGCAAATATGCCCCTGGTACCTAAGTCTGCCAGTACAGCTTCAACTTTTTAAATATGTACACGCACAAGTTCTGTTTCTGGATTGTATTATGAAGCTTTTATGTGGAACATGTTTTTGTAATGGAAACCACATTTATAAATGTTTAGCCGTTGTATTATGTTACCAGTATCAAAATGCTCAAAAGAAAGTGTTATTGTCCATAGTCTTTGCACTTTATGGCAGTACTTTTGGCATTCTACTACACATACAAGGAAATTTCATAACTAGGTGCCTATCTTGGGTTGCTGGTGTTTGGAATTCAGTTTGTATATGCACTCTAGTAAAACGCTGCTTGTTTAAATAGCTGCAATAGAAAATTCATGCACTGTATCAATGGTACCTGCCTTAACTGCTGGCTTGTAATTGGCAAATAGGTGGTTTCAGATTCTTATTTACTTCATTGAGTCCACAGAGATTAAAATACTCTAAAAGAAAAGATTTTACTTAATTTTTTGGTGCCTTGCACAGTGTTTAGAAAATCATGTATTTATGAAGATAGTAATAAACCTTTCAAACAGATGCACACATGGTATTCTGTTATGGAAATGGGATAGTACATCCAAAGGCTTGTTCAACTTCATTTATAAAGTTAAGTTAAAGATAAAGCTAATATTCGGGCGTTTGGGCTATAAAAATGTTTGCAGTTTGAGAACAAAGTTATCTGTGTCCATGTGTGTAGAAAAGACATGCAGTGGTGTTGATGTCATACAAAAAAGAAATTTTTCTTCAGTCGAAAAGCAGGATTGAAGTAGGCCTTTCTGCTTGTTTTTTCTTTTTTTGTCTTTTCATAGTCATAGAATCACGGACTGGCTTGGGCTGAGCTGGAAGGGATCTTAATGATCACCTGGTTCCAACCTTCTCCCATTATGGCCAGGGACACCTCCCTCTAAATCTGCTCTGAATAGGCTGCTCAGGGCCCCATCCAATCTCTGGCCCTGAACACTTCCAGGGATGGAGCAACCACAGCTTCTCTGGGCAGTCTGTGCCAGCACCTCACCACCCTCTGAGGGAAGAATTACTTCCTAACGTCTATCTAAATCTTCTTTCTTTCCATTTAAAGTTATTATTCCTTGTCCTATTACTACAGGCCCTTGTAAAAAAGTCTTTCTTTAGCTTTTCTGTAGGCCCCCTGTAGGTACTGGAAAGCTACAGTGAGGTCTCCTCAGAACCTCTTCTCCAAGCCGAACAAGCCCAGGTCTCCCTCAGCCTGTCTTCATAGGTAAGCTGCTCCAGCCCTCTGATCATTCTCCTGACTTCCTCAAGAGGTTCTGAGCTCCAGCAGCTCCATGTCTGTAGGCTATGGCCTCAGAGCTGAATGCAGTGCTGTAGGTGGGGCCTTACGGGAAGTGGAGCAGAGAGGGGAACTCGCTTCTCTTGCCCTGATAGTTACACTTCTTTTGATGCATCCCAGGATGTACTTGGCTTTCTTGGCTTGTAAGTGCACATTGCCAGGTCATGTTGAGCTTCTTATCAGCCAACACTTCTAAATCCTTCTTCTCCTGGCCTCTCTCAGTCCATTCTCCTCCCATTCTGTATTCGTGTTTGGGATTGATGCAACTCAGGTGCAAGACTTTGCACTGAGCCTTGTTGAACTTCATGAGGTTTGCACACGCCCACTTCTCGAGCCTGTCCAGGTGCATCTGGATAGTATTCTTGCCCTCCATCCTGTCGACTGCACCATGCATCTCGCTGTCATCTGCGAACTCACTGCAGGTGTACTCAATCCTGCTGTTGTGTCACGGACACAGATGTTAAGCCATGCAGATCCCAATACCAACCCCTGAGGAGGTCGCACAGCTCTGAGTGCGACATCCAGCAAATTCCTTACCTACAAAATGATCCATCTGTCAAAGCCACATATCTTCAATTTAGAGACAAGGATGTTATCCAATACAGTATCAAATGCTTTCTTTGCACAAGTCCAGATAGATGATGTCAGTTGCTCTTCTCTTTTCCACCAATGCTATAACTCTGTCATAGAGGCCACTAGACTTGTGTTATTCTGAGTTCTGGAGCAATAGAAGTTATTGTTGGGTGTCTTCTGTGCTACCTCTTAAGACAAGAATTTAGTGTTTACAGAAGAAGAATGCTTGTCTTCTTTTGAAAGATGGGAGGTGTTGGCTTCAGCACAGATTGTAAACTGAGAAAATGCATGGATGCAGTATCTTTGCAGAAGGATTAGGTGGGTAATACTGTGTTTTATTGCTATTTGTTGAAATACTGAAATTGCTATATTGCATTTGTGTTTGGGTTGTCATAAAAATTATTTACTTGAACTAAATTGTATTTCAAAATTATCAGTGCGATAAGGTATGAGAAGAGCAGCCTGCAGTGTTTGTACTCCTGAGGGTGAGGGGAAGATGATACTTACCAACAGCTGTACCTCCGAGTTGGGCTGCACTGTGCAGAGAGCACAGGGCAGCTGTTGGCTGCAACCTCTCGGCCTCGTCTATTCAAGTCTTCTAAAATGACAGTTCCTTTGTTTAAAAAATGGGTAAAAAGCCCGCCTCTTGTATTTCTCCAAAATTAACTGTCATGGTTTTTGGTTAAGTCCTGTCACAAAAGTTACTTTTTCACTGGGAGCTGCTTGTGTTTGACACTGGAGATTTTTTTGGCAATTTAGGAGTTGTTTTTCCATTTAATCCCTTGCTTTTGCCTGACTTATCTTGTCAAGAATTTCCACGGGAAAGCAGCAGCTCTCGCAAGACTTCTGTTCCTTTTGTGCTTTTGGGTCAGTGCCTGCCTATATGTGTGCACATCCAGGTGGCAGCCACTCACTTCTGATGCAGCCTGGGGATGGGATGTCTTGGACTGTTGCAGCCAGGACACGTCTCTGTTAGCAGAGACAGAATGGTGAAGAGCCTGTGATGGCCTCCCCTATGCGTGGCCCAGCTCATGATACTCAGTGCAGTTCTGTCCAGAGATCCTCTGGTTGTGTGTGCTGTCAGCTTCCTCCAGACACAAAAGGATGCAAAAGTTCTGAAAAGCTTACAGGCCAAGAAATTGTCAGATTGCCCTAAGAACATAAGGCCCCAGGGATGATGTTGAGATGTTTGTTGTCTTTGAGTTTCTGGGTGAGTTACGCAAAGTGTTGGAAGGAATAGGGTAAAAGGTAACCTTGTTTGCTTCCTGCAGCCCAGCCAAGTCCCACTGAGTCAGTCAAAAAGAGAGTTGCTCTAATACTGATGATGTTCCCTATTGGGGGCATCTCAGGCAGCCACTTCTGTTCCTGTTTGTGTGCCCAGCAGGAGCTGAGGGATTTTCTGCCTGTGTCACTGAGGAAGGGGGTTGGTTTAAGTTACTTAAGACCGACAGTGGAGATGCTTTCATGACCATATATACCACAGAATTCTTAAATAACTTGAGCAGGTTTCTCTAAACCTGCTAAAAATAGGGTACCTGACAAACTGCTCTGCATCTGACTTAGGAGGAGACAGGCCACCTGGGCCACCTCTGCTGTGCACTGGGTGATGGCTGAGCACAGCGCCATTCCCGAGCGTGGTGTGCTACTCAGTGCCTCTGCCGCACACGAGTGGCAACACCAGCACTGCTGTGACACTCAGGCCTTGGATGCTTCTCATGCTCAAGGTTGTCCAAGCCTCTGCTGCATGTGCTGTCAGCCCTTCGGGGCTTTGCTCTGTGCAAATGTGCAGTGCTTCTGAGGTGCTTCTTAAGGCCACTTGATGAGCTAAGAACGCACAGAGGCAGTGTGGGCAGTGTGCACTTCATAGAATCATGGGATTGGAAGGAACCAAAAGAGATCATCGAGTCCAACCCCCTGCTCATACACGTACCCTATGATAGGTCGCACAGGTAGGCATCCAGATGGGTCTTGAATATCTCCATAGAAGGGGACTCCACAGCCGCTCTATGGACAGCCTGTTCCAGTGCTCCATCACCCTTACCATAAGGAAGTTCTTCTGCATGTTAGTACAGAACTGCCCCTCACTTTGATTCAAAAAACTGAAGGTAATGTGGAAACAACGAAAGCAAATTTGCTGCTATCATTGCACTGCTTACAGTGAACAGGAAACAGACCGTGGTTGAGCCCTTTCCCACTGCACCTGTTTTGGGTACACACACTTGGGTGTGGGTTTACTGTGCGAGGGTGATGGATTTACTCTGTGAGAGTGATGGGCAGAGTGCCTTTGGCCTGTAACAGGCTCTGATGGACACATGCATGCGTGTGTGTGTGCCCCCAGACTCTTGATAGCCGAAGCCACTGTGCACTCAGGTCCTGTGTCTGCAGGAATAGGGATGTGACATCCCCCTGTGAGGAACCCAGCCCATGGTTCAGAATGTGACTGGCCCTAGATGGCATTAGCCAATATAGTCTCGACCTTAACTGCATGGAGATGTGCTTCCATGGGAACACACAGAATCGTTACTGCCTGATTTCCAGTGCTTCCTGCTGTCATGGCTCACCTGTCTGCCCAGGGGACGCTGAGACCCAGTCACACACAGGTGTCACCGCAGTGCTGTGCTGCCAACAGCCTGCCCCATCCCTCAGCCTGTGCCCTGCTGCCTTGTGCTCCAGCCATGAATTTCTTGTAAAGGAGAATGTTTCCTTGTCTCCTACCCAGACCTGAGTCAAGACAGCTGGAGAAGACCTTTTTTCCTTATTCCTTTATCTTCTCGTTCACACAGCAGTGCTGTGCTGTGTGCAGGTAACCATGCACCATAGGGGTAGGGAGGAGACCAAACCTAGAAGCTGGCATGGATTAATTTATTCTGTAACAGCTGCAGAGAATCCGCTGCAGCAAGGCCATAGCTGGCCAGCCCTGCACTTCAGTGTGCTCACACAGCAGCTGCAGTAGTGCTCTGCAAGCCGGCAAAGCCCCATTTCCCAGTGCCCAGTAATGAATGTGCTGAGCGCTGCTGGCAGGGAAGGATTAACCACACTGCGACAGAACTGGCTGGATACATTTTATTGGCAACACTAGTGTCATACTCGGGAACCACAACCCTTTGTCAGACTGTTAGTGTTAACTTGCATGACAAGTATCAGTGACCAACTGTATTTGAAATATTGTTAAAGTGCCTAGAAATAATGGGCATCTTAAAAAAAGGAAAGGAAACGCACTCCATCCACTCAAACCAACCTTTATAGATCTTACATCTTAAGCACAACTGATGTACTGTAATTGTTACGCGGACTTTAATGTAACCTCTACAGCAGCACACAGACAATGCAGTTCTCTCATTATGCACATGCTTTAGGATCGTTTATTTTAATGCTTTCAAATAAATATGTTCCATGCAGCACACCGCAATAAATAAGGAGCAGCAACTTTCGTATAGTACATCCATTCATAATGTAAGTCACCATGTGAAACACCACATCTAAAGCCTTTGGCCCAGTCCCATACAGTGAAGCACACCACATCTGCACATAATCATATCTGGCTTCATATGGATTTAATAGGACTACGCCAGAAGGGCAATGTGAGCACAAGTTTAACCAGGGGTTCCTACCCATTAAATACAGCTACTAAGTAGTTAAAAGGCAACAACTAAACCCATAAAGGGTTGATTTGTCTTTTCTTTCTTACTTTTCAGACAGAAATATAAAGTACGAAAATGCTCTGGATTTTTTCAGCCCCGTGTAAAGCCGTGTGATTAATATGGAATGCTCTGAGCAATACTGGCACGCACGCTGGCATCGGCAGCCACAGCACGACGGGCTCGGCAGGGAAGGCCGCTCCTCCTCTTCTCTATGCCGCCAGCTCCACCGCCCCCTCCTCCTCACTGTCGGCCCGGTTGGCACGGATCTCCACCAGGGTCCGAGCGAAACGCGTCCATTCGTCGTTGTGCGGGACCGCCAGCTGCGGAGAGACAGGACAGGGATGACAGCCCCGGGCCGAGGCACGGCTCCTGCCACAGCCCATGGCCATCCATGTCAGCCTGCAGTGCTGCCCCATCCCGGCACAACGCCACCGTTCTCCACCCAGCTCCGGCGGCAGAGAGAAAAGCTCATCTCTCTGCAGGATTCTGGGGAGAAGTTCTTTGCTTAAGCATTGTTGCAGAGGCCTTTTGTTAATCTTTCTGATTTTCCAAACTACGACAAGCTCGATCTCTATGACACATGCACGTGTGTTTCACTGCACACACGTGGCCAAGAGTAATTGTTTGCAGGACCGAGGTCAGTGGGTACAAGGTAACAGTGCTTTTACAACGTTGTACTGAAACCATGTTCCTGAAGTTCATTAAAGCTCTTAGTAAAATAAATATATTCTGTTATCTTAGTTACCCTCCTCTATGTTAAGGAATTTACCATGAGGAAACATGCACTATAAGGGGAATGTTAAACCAACTGGAGACTGCCCTGCCGGCATCTGTTTTGAAATTGACTTGTAAGATCCGTTTCCATTCAATAGCACTGATGTTTCTGGTGAAGAGCTCTTGAACATCAGGCTTCAAGAGGAGCCTGTAACCCACAGCGGAACTTCGTGATAAAACGCAGTGGTGATATGGCAAAATAGTGGTCATTTCTAGCTGGATCCAACACTGCAATTTCTGGAAGACAACGCAAACTGAGATGGTCCAAACTGGAACACAAGCAAGTCGTCCTCACTCCCTTCCTTCCCTACAGCAGTCCATATGGCTGGAGACTGAGCAAAAGTGATTTTCACAAACAGGGAAGCCCAATTTGGGCAAGAACTTGCATAAAAGCCTAACGTTAACCCTGTGTGTACACTGTTGCAAGTTCAGAGTTGATTGCATGGATGGGTATTTGCAATACCTCCTTATATCTCAATGAAGTCAATGAGATTTTCAACTACTATGCATCTAGTTTTGCCTCTGCAGCCAATATTCCAGGCAATGATCTAGCATATGTTTTAAAGTTTCCCACATAGAGGGCATATACCAATGACTCAGCCATGTTATATGAAGGGCTGGCATACAGTAGCTTTGTTTTGCCTACTGAAATACTGAATATAGTACAGCTCAATATTTACTGAGGTTGCAGACCAAAAAAACACCACCTGTGTGAAAGCTACCAGCCCTCAATATGCCTCCATCTTCCACTTCTGCATTTTTCTCTTTGACTTTTGGAATGGAGACCAGAGTTCCAGGAGCAAACCATGGGAGCCAGCCCAGTCCCCTTCACACACACACAGATATGGATCTGCTGTGGTCTTCAGTTGAAAGAAAGCTCTGTTCTTTGAAGAACATTCAGCAGAAGGAAACATTAACATCAAGATGAAGGTCACTTCACCAACACACAAGCGCCCATAGCAAAGGTTTGGTCACACACACGCCTACACAAACGCCTGCAGAGTAAGCTGAGAGACAATGCAAAGATCCTTCCATTACAGATGAAGCCAAAGCCATCTGTGCATCACATTCTATGTTACCGTTGCTGGTGTTCTAAAAGACTTTCTTTCTCATGATGTGCATAGCACTATCATTTGTCAAACTGAATGAAAACATTAAATAAGCCTCAGTTATGTCAAGTAGTGAAATCGTTAAAGTGGAACGATATATTAGGCAAAAGATTCTGTGAATTTAATAAAGCCTCATTTCTTGTTGTCTTTTTAAATCCCAAATGGCTTTACATTGTATTAAGTGGCTCAAGATGATAATACATCAAAAGAAAAAAAAAAAGCAATGTATTTATTACATTGCGATAATTTAATTCCCTTTACACCACAGCACGGCCACAGACAAATAAATCAAAGCCCAAATGACAACAAACTGAAAACTGAACATCCTCCCTGCAAACGTAGATATGCAGTATGGCTAACTAACAGCTTCAGAAGGGCTCAGGCCTTTTTTAATGCTTCAAATCACAAAACAGTAATTTAAGTGAAGACCGTTAGCACACAGATGAAAACATTCAGGGTCCACATGCAATCTAATTACTTAAATCTTTGGGTTTTTTTTTACCTTATTTAATCTCACACATTGCATCATGCGTTCAACAAAGGGAGAGTTCTACTAATAGTCTGGTAGTAGAACAAACCTCTCTAATCTAAATCCCTCAGGGATGCAGTCAAGTCAAGGGAAAACAACTTTTATTCTTCTTTCTATGAAGTCCCTAATGCTGAACCACACAAGTTATAAGACAAAAGACCACAAACAAAAATGAAAGCATCCACAAACTCCAAATTCTTGTATGAATTAATGCTCCCAGTCATTGTCAATTAAAGTTCCTTCAGCCGGCATACTCACACTGATAACTGCTGAAGGCTCGTGTCCCTCCGTGGGCCAAACTCTCCATTTCAGCTTTCCTGATGCAGTGGTTGTACTGCAAATCCCAGGGCAAGGGTGGAAGAAAATAAATGTGTAGGAGAAGGGTAGGGACTTAGAGCTGTTTAGGTATTTCTTACTCATACGGCATTTCTCTGTCCACTTTCAGTTACTCCAAAGCAGCATGTGTTCAGTTCCAGCAGTCATAATCACTACACAGAGCGGAAATATTCACCAAAGCATAAGGTAATATAATAACTTATATTAACATTTGGGTCATAAGGTTATTTGAATGAACTGACACCATGCTATGGAGCAGAACAAGAAAATAAATGTTATTAAGTGTTCTGCTTTGATCCCTGCACAAGGGAACGTAAGCGCTACCTGCAGCTAATTAATTAACTGAATTACTCACACCGCTTTAGCTTAAATACCACAGTGTATTTAGGTTGCATCAGATAGCAATTCTAATGAGGAAAACCAGTATTACCAAAGCAATGTGGTGACTTAAGCCAAACTTTGTCTGTTCAGATGTTAGGAGTTGTTTGGTCTTCTATCCAGCTTTTAAAATATCAGAAGAGTTCAGGCTGCAAGTGTGACTACAAGTTTATGCATCCACACAAACCTGCTCCTGCTTGTGCAGAAGTTACGTGTGCTCAGCTGGACACAGGTAATGCAAGAAAACATTTTAGCAAGATGCTAAAATGCTGATTCATTTTTTATAGGGTGAAGCTACTTAACTTGGGACAACTGAGGTTCTTTCATTTCTCAACAATCAGCATTTTCTTTCTATCACTCTAACCTTGTGAGAACCCTCTCCTCATTTAAAATCCATGGAATATCTTCCAAAAGCACTTCTATCTATAAAATGAGTATCTGTAACAGTTTGATAAATGATCAGTAACCTATAACATACTAAGCATCATACACACATAACATTTTATCATTTCAACTAGTTCACAAACTGCTTCTCGATGATATTCAAAAGCTGATTTATGTCATGCAAACTCTCAGAGTTAATTTGTCCACCACCGCCATTACTATGATCTTAGATACACAGATTCTGGTGAGAAAAAAGTGTCAGTAAAGCTTCTGATGGAATGGAGCAGCACAAACACCACTGCTGAAAAGGAAGCACTCCCTGGGCAGCACCTCCCAGCCAGCAACCTGAGACTCCCATGCGAAGGGAGCTCAGTGCAGCCCCTCGCACTGCACACAAGGACCAGAACGCAGCAGCCACAGCTACTGCCAAATACTGGAGTGGTGGACTGGCAATTTCAGCAAGCTCAGGCTGCGTTCCAGACAGTAACACCAAGTAGATTCCTAACTATTCTTGTAGCGTGCTACAGTTACCAGGTTATCTTATTAGGGACAAATAACATCGTACCCACGTGAACCTTACCCAGCTTGTGCTTCCCTGGGTCTGCCACACGCACAGAAACTATAGGAAGGCAACCACTGACTGAACAAAATGGAATACAAAGTGCTTAGAAAGTGAGATGATGGGATGCAGTGACATAAGGCTTATATGAATATACAAGGAGATCTCCCCATTCTCATTTGTCTCCTTCCCAACAGCCAAAGGTGGCTGCATTCTGGTAAGTCAGAAGCCTCTGGTCTCTGGTATTAATCTCAGCCTCTTCAATTTTGGTGATAATGTGTTGAGCTGACGGGATTTATCTGGTTGGGTTGCACAGGCCAGTTACAGAAGGTTGATTTTTTCTTTTCACCTCTCCAGAGCCACAGAGTTACAGCAGACTTAGAACAACAATGCTTAGAAGCAACTGTGTACAGTTTCGGGCACCACAATACGAGGACATAAAACTTTATAGTAAAGATCATCTAAAGGAAGTTATGAAGATTGAGCAGGGTCTAGGCAAGCAAGGCATATGAAGAGAGACTGAGGTGTCTTGGTTTGTTCAGCTCAGAGGAGAAGAGGCTGAGGAGAGGCCTCATGGGAGCCTGCAGCTCCTCACAGGGAGCGGAGGGGCAGGAGCCTTTGGATATATGAAACTTCTAAGGCCATTCTGTGCTACCTGAGCTCCAGCCACGCACATCGCTTACCTGCTAGATCTCCAGCCCTGAATCACAAACGTGCTCTCCTTGACGCTAGTACTGACCAAGAAGATGGCATATACGCATTCTGATAAGAGAATATGGGAGTTCTCTCTCTTCCTGAGGCTCCCAAGGCAAGGTAGTCACAGGTAGCAGCACAAACAGGGGTTTCACCAGGAACAGCCTTCTCCAGCTTCTTGTCAAGGCAGAGGTATCCTCAGAGTGCAGAGCTTCCAATCCATACACCAGACATCATCCAAACACAAGCTTTATGTCCCTGTGTTTCTACAGAAACCATGCTTTTAGGAACTTCCCTGAACATTACTACCCTTAAAATCTTAATGCAGAACTCAGGGAAGGGTTATTTGTGCTTAAGAAGAGACACCTGTCAACATTGCCAGCTGTGCTTGCTAGTGCTAGGTTCCCCAGGCAAGCAGAAAAACAACAGAAAAACAGTGCCTGAAGACACAAATCAGCATAAATTTAATTTCATTTTCAGATCATTAAACACTTTCTTGTAACATCTCTTATAATTTATGTCTATTAAAAAAAAAAAATCTTTTCTAGACCAACCAAA